CTGACTGGCTCATCTCCTCCCTGAGACCCCTCTGCAAGGGGATCTCCAGTGGCCTGCTAATGGGCTTTGGGTCTCCACTCTGCACTACCCCCATCATTCACTATGGTAAGATTTTTTGTTCTGATGATGCCTTATACCTGATCCCTTCGACACCTCATGGATGCATAGAGGGCAATTTTAATTTGACGGGTTTAATGAACCGATGAAATCAGACCGATTGTCTAGGTATTTAATTAGGAATTTAGGAACTCTAATGAATTCAAATAGATTTCTTCATGGAACAGATTTAATTAACAGAGACTTTTTAATCATCAAAATATCGGCGAATTAGGTACAATGCTTCTCAAAGTGTGATCCCAAGTCAGCAGCGTCAGCATGACTGGGAACCCCACTCCAGACCTCCAGACCCCACTGCAGCAATGCTGACTCATCGCTGTACTTTAGGGTTCCCAAGGCTCCCCTCTTTCCAGGAGCAGCCGGCCACCGCTTGCTCCCGTGAGCCACTGGCAAATCCACATGCCAACATTGGGGAGAGTGGTACAGCCTTTCAACCCCTGTTCCGTCAGGACCTCTCTCCTGGGCGCGGCTCCAAACCAGCAGCTGAATCGCCCCCGAGGCTCCCTGCTCCAGGCCTACTGAGCCGCACAACCTCTGGGAGTAGGGCCCAGGAATTGGCGTGAACCAGACTTCTGGGTTTGAGAACTACTGAAGTGGAAGAATGACTAGAGAGTGTCACAAACTAGGAACCGGAATGAGGAATTTGACTTAATCAGCTTGGATGAATTAGTCAGGGCCAAGCCTTCGAGTGGGAGATTTGATTAGTGAGTGCTCTCAAACAAAAAGCACAGTACTGCCATCGGTACACAGTGGACTCCTGACTGCAAGGCCACGGGTTCAAACCCGCCAGACTCTCAGTGGGTGAAAGATGAGGCTATTTGCTCCCAGGAAGATGTACAGCTTTGGAAACCCTCTGTAGGGTCTCGCTCAGTCACAATTGACTGGCAGTGGTTTGGTGAGTTTGGTACTGAGAACGGCCATTCGTACCAAACAAATACCTGGAATAATGTCATCGGTGATATTAGTCCACGAGGCGGTATTCCGTGAATAAGGTAACTTAACTGTGGCTGGTTATGTCTCAGTTAAGACAAGTTACCTGTGGATGTAGCAGGAGAATGATAGGGGAGGGTGGGGTGAGATTTGGTATGGAAAATAATGTGAAAATCTATTTGACGAGCAAGGTTAAGACATTAGCTAAGTCAAGAGGAGAGGGTGGAATAAAGCAGGTTTATCAGCCAAAGTGTTTGTCCCTGGGCGGCCTCCACGGTGGGACAACTGGATATTTGACTCCAACCCCTCTTCTTCCCACGTCGACGTACGAAAGAGGTGCTTACCAGGGCCTTCCCTCTCTCCCCAGGGTCCTGTTCTCTCTGGGTGACCCAGCCCCCTGAGATTCGAACTCGTGAGGGCACCACTGCCTTCTTGCCCTGCTTCTTCAATGCCACCAGAGGGAGACCTGCCATTGGTTTTGTGACTTGGTACCGGGACAAGGTGGGTCCCGGGAAGGAAGTGAGGAATGAGACCCCAGAGTTCCAGGGCCGCCTGGCCCCCCTTGGCTCGGCCCGATTCCTCTATGATCACCAGGCTGAGCTGCACATCACCAGCACCCGCCCGCACGATGCTGGCGTCTACCTGTGCAGGGTGGAGGTGCTAGGCCTGGGCTCTGGCACCGGAAACGGGACTTGGCTGGTGGTGGAGAAAGGTGAGGCCCTGGGGGTTGGCCCTGTGGTGGGGGATCCTACTTGGCTACGTCCCTGGAAGCGGAGATTCCCCCCCCTCCTGTATTTCCACGAGCCTGGGTAAGTTGCTTCCTGGAGATCTGCTTCACCAAGCCCCTTCCTCTTGACTGCCCCACACTCAGGATCCTACGCCTCCCTCCTCCTGCTTCGCGCCGCATTCTATGCCTTCAGCTTTCTCTCCGTGGCCGTGGTGGCCGTGGGCTGCGCCTTCTGTGACCAGGGCAAAGGTAAGTAAGTAAAGGTGCCCCAGGGAAGCTGGAGGGCTGGGGAGGGAAGGGCAGGCTCCAAAGACCAGGGGCTGCAGTGCCACTCCTGGGGTCTCTCCTACCAGGCGCTTGTCACATGGGAACAGGAATGTCCTGCTAGCCCTTGGTGGCTTCTCAGGAGTGATTGCAGATCCACCTGTGATCCCAAGCCCTCTTCAAGAGACCCTGACAAGCCCCTCCCGGTCCCACCACTCCATGAGCTCCTCCTCATCAGTCCCTTCCAAGAGCACACCAAACAGGCCGAAGAAGGATGCCGCCCGAACTCGGACCCACAGCTCCCTCCCACCACCATCCTGAGGTTCAATACACCCCCCTCTCCAGGGTTCGGGGGGCAGCCACCGATTGCCCCCGAGGAGGGGGGCTGATGGCATCGCTGGCCTCTGCCTGTCAATAGCCTCAGGCTGGACAGGCCCACAGACCAATAGTCTGTCCTGACCGCCTCCGTCCAATACCTCCTCCCTGGACTCTGGGGATGAGAGTGGGGGCGGTAGGCTTTGACAGTGGTCATTTTGAATGGGCTGGAGATGGACAGAGGAGCCCGAGACACAAGGTGGGAGACCACGGCCTTTACTGCGGGAGCTGCCAGGCTGCTGCGCCCGCCCGCTGCAGCCGAGCGCGCTCAGCTGGGTTTTTTCTTGGCGATGCGGGCGTAGTCAGCTCTAGTGTCTTCCTTGGCATCCTCCCCGTCTCCCTCGCTGAGGTCAGGTCCCTCGTGCCCGCTGGGGGCCGGCAGCTTCTGCAGAGACGCGTAGTGGAGCTCCTGCTCCTCCGGGGGACGGGCCTGGGGCAGGCCCAGAGGGGGCTGGCAGTGGGCACAGCAGAGGCGGCCTCCCTCCCTTCCTTGTGGGTTTCTGCCCCACCTCCCGCCTTTCTCAATGCTTCCTTCTCAGGCTCCCCTGCCCCCCAGCCTCTTCCGTTCTTGTCTCGGACACCCCTGCCCCACCCTCTCTCTGCCAGCTTCGGCTCTCGTCCTTTTCCGTCTGAGATATTTCTCTCTACAGCCACCCCCCACACCCCCTCTTTTCTCTTGTCCCTCCCAGCGTCTCTCACCTTCTCCTCTTTCCCTCCATCTCTCCCGCCCAACGCCTCCTCTCTTTCCCTCTTCGCCTCCTCTCTTTCCCTCTTCAGCCCCTGGCCCTCATCTCAGAACGCCAGCCCCCTTTGGGGCTCCCCTCCCTCCCTCCCTCCCTCCCTCCCTCCCTGCCCCAGACTCACCCAGCTCCTCTCCAACCTCCTCACTGCAAAGAAAAGTAACCGCTCAGCGGGGGCCCTGGCACTGCCCTCCCCTCCCCAGGCCAGGATCAGATCTGGGCTCCTCCCTCCATGCCCTACACCCCCCCCTGGTCCCCCCCAACTCCCACCTTAGACATCTCACCCCCCCACCCCCCTGCACCCCTCCAGCTCCCACCATCCTCCAGGGCCTGTCTGGATCAGTGGAGCCTTCTGGGAAGGCCCAGGGGAGGATGGCGCTGTGGGGTGAATTGGGGGAGCTGAGGAGGGGGCTGACCTCTCCGGTGGAGCCAACACAAACACGTGGACAGAATGATGACGACCAGGACCAGGACCCCTCCAAGTGCCAGCCCCCCATATATGTATGGGCACAGATGTTCTGTTGGGAGGGAAGGGGGTTTGGATTAGGGGGGTCCTCTCTCCCTGGCTTCCCCACCGTCCTGGTGTGTCAGGCATAGGCCCGCCCCCACTCCAGTGTGCAAGGCCAAGTGGCTCCTCACAGCATCTTTGCCCCAGAACGCTTTATTTCACTTCCCACCGACATCTCAGCCCTCACTGGTCAGCGGGCCCTGTCCGAGCCTGCCCGTTCTCAGAGGCATCCACAGCACTCCCTGCTGCCTCTGGCCCCCACCCGTCCCAGCCTCCCCCCCCACTCCCCGCTCCTCCCGCTGTGTGCCCCCTTTGCCCTCCTGCCAGCGCAGCAAGAGAGGCCCTGGGCAACCTACTCTTCTCTTTCATCGCTGACCCTGCAGACCTTCCAGTCCAGAGAGGAAAGGCTCCTTACCGGACCCTATCTTACAGCCATCCAAGGCTCTCATGGCTTCGCCGGCTTGCCTTCAGTGGTGGACTGAGAACTGGCCTGAAGGCCAGGAAGCCTAGCCCGGCTCTTTCAGGTTAATGGACTTGGGTGTCACGTGCCGCGGGTGAGTTCCTCATTGGTAACTCAAGGGCCCTTTGCTGCAATTGCTTCCAGGCGAAGGAGGCTTTGTCTGTCCAGCCCTGGCCTGGGTATTGCTCACAGGTCCTTGCTAACCTTCACGGCATCATTGTGTGTGTGTTTGGGGTGGGGTGGGGTGGGGGATGGTGTCCTTTTTCACAGGTGGGTGGGCCAGGAACCTGAAGTTCAAGGCACTGACTTTTACAGGACCGCTGAGGCCAGAAGGGGGAGAATTGGGGTCCAAGGGCAGCTCAGTCTAGCTGCAGAGCCCACTCTGATCTTTCTGCCCTGGGCGGATGAGGGACTTTCTAGGTGTCTCTGCAGTGTGGTACAGATCTAGGTGGGCTCTGGGGCTGGAACTCACAGGATCTGGAGAGGGTGAGGGAACGGGGCGGACATGAGGGACAGCAGCGCCCCACATGGGGTCGCTCTCGTAGCCCCTCACAGGGGGCAGCACTGACTGTCGTGGGAAGCTGCTTCACAGGCACATTGGACTGGGGGGTGAAGTGGGACATGAGGGAGTGTCTAGGGCCCCGTAACTTCCCTTCAGACACTTCCTGCCCTCCAACCACTGGTTTCTGTTTGAGGGCTGGTAGTTCCTGAGGCCCGTGGACTTCACCTCAGAGTTAGAGGGGCCGACTAGAGTCTGGGTGTTGAGCCCCCTCCAGGGTCCGAGAAGGACGGTGATGTGTGGGTGTCAAAGGAGAAACACACTTGACAGCGGGAACCTGAGACACTGAGGAGGGAAACAGGGGGACGAGGGTGGGTGGTTTTTGTTTTTTCATTTTGAGGGGGGAATAGACACCCCCCCAGAGCTGGAGAAGATTTCTTTCCACGGGGCTCAAGGACCCTCAAACCATTCTCTTCCACCCACATCTAGTCTCTGTTGGGGTGTGAGGGTCATTTTCCCCAGCATCCCCCTCCCTACCACCACCACCACCACCACCACCAGGTCCCCCCAATACACCCAGTGACCCAGAGCCTGTGGTTGGCGGGCTGGACGGCTCCAAAGTGATGTGAGCTTCCTGGGTGGAGAGAATGCAGCCAGCTCCGATATTCATGCCCTTCCCCTAGCTGTCCTGTCTCCCCCAGCATGACGCCGCCATGGTCCTGCTGGAAGAGGAACTTGGGTTCTGAGGGCTGGGAAGGCAACATCCTTCCTTCCAGGCTTCTGGGACTGTAACTTGGCCTGTCATCCGGCTTTGTTCCAACCCTTCTATTGATCTTGGACCTCCAGGCAGCCTTCCCTGATTAACCCCGCCTGTTAAAATAAAAACAATATGAAGTCAATGACGGAAATTGATGGAAGTTTATTTAAGATCCAGTTTGCAAACCGGGGAGACATGTCTGCCTACAACAGTGGTTTTCAACCGTCCTACCCACCCCCCACCAACCATAAAATTATTTTCGTTGCTACTTCATAACTGTAATTTTGCTACCGTTCTGAATCAGGAGACCCCTGTGAAAGGGTCATTCAACTCCCAAAGGGCCTGCGACCCGCTGGCCTAGAGAGTCAAAGTGGTGCGGAGAAGAGCCTTTGTAGATTTCTGTACCCTAGTTTCTTACTGAGCAACTAAACTGTTGCTGACGCTCACCCAACAGTGGTTGCAGCAGTACATTGACAGGGAGCTCCCAGAGGTTCAGGGTGGGTTCAGAGGAAGACGTGGGATGAGGGATACCATTGCTGACGTCTGAATGGCTCTTGGCTGGAAGCAAAAAATACCAGAAAGATGTTTAGTTGTGTTTCCTTTGCTGTGCCAAAGCATTTGGCTATATGGATCATAACAAGCCAGGGAGTCTTGAGAAGAATAGGAATTTCAGAACGCGTCCTGGCCACTCCTGAGGCACCAGTGCATGTACAAAGAAGCAGTCGTTCAAACAAGACAAGGGACTACTGCATGGCTGACAATCAGGAAAGGTGCGGATCAGTGTTGTATCCTCTTACGATACTTATTCAATCTGTACGCTGAGCAAATAATAAGAGCAGCTGGATGATATGAAGAAGAACAAGGAGTCAGGACGGAAGGCAGACTTAGGAACAACTTACCATATGCGGACGACACAACCTTGCTTACTGAAAGTGAGGAGGACTCGAAGCACTTGCGGATGAAGATGGAGGGTGGCAGCCTTCGGCGTGGTTTGCAACTCAGCGTAAAGAAGGGCAAAATCCTCACAGCTGGACCAATAGCATCGTGATGAACGGAGGGAAGATGGAAGTTGTCAGGGATTTGCCTTGCTTGGATCCACAAGCGGTGCTCACAGAAGCAGCAGTCACGAGATCAAAAGATGCACTGCGCTGGGTGACCTGCTGCACAAGAGCTCTTTACAGGGTTAAAAAGCAAGGATGTTACTTTGAGGACTAAGGTGTGCCTGGGCCCAGCCAGATTTTCAGCGGCCTCATTTGCGTGTGAAAGTTGGACATTGAATAAGAAAGACCGAATGGACACATTCGAATCATGGTGTTGGGGAAGAATATTGAAGTGCTCTGACAGCCCAAAGGACCACAGAGCTGTCTTGGGATAAACACAGTAGAGTGCTCCTTAGGGGCAAGGAAGGCAGACTTCATCTCCTGCACTTTGGACAGGTTATCAGGAGCCACCGTCCCTGACAAGGACATCTTGCTTGGGGAAGTAGAGAGGCAGCGGAAAAGAGGAAAGCTCTCAAAGAAATAGATGGACACAGTGGCTGTCGCAATGGGCTCGGCCATCAGACCCAAACAGTTGTGAGGATGGCGCGGGGCTGGGTTTCATTCTGTGCGACATGGGGTCACTGTGAGTCAGAACAAAGTCAATGGCATCCAACAACAAGGAGCCCTAGTGGCTTAATGGCTGTGCATTGGGCTGCTAACTGCAAGGTCAGCCGTTCAAAACCACCAGCCTCCCCACAGGAGAAAGACGAGGCTTTCTACTCCCGTTAAGAGGTAGTCCGGGAGGGGGGTAGTCCGGGAGGGGGGTAGTCCGACCCGCGTTAGTCCCACCCTGTTCTCCAGCCGCTATGAGTTGGCATCGGCTCCACAGCCATGAGGTTCTTTTTTGTTTTAAAAATGTATTGCTTGTGGGAAACAGAAGGATTTCTCCCAAGTTGTGTCCCCCCAATACATGCCAAACTTAGCTGCTTGCGAACGACTATACACTTGGAGGTCATCAGAAGTAGATCAGGGCTATTCTCCCTAAGGGTTATCGGCCATCTAGACCAAGCAGTCACCACTGTTTATCCCGCAACAAGTAGGACCCACTTCCTTCTGATAAGGATAGTAGTTGTCTGTTTCCTTGTAGGAGACCCCAGAGAGGTCAAGCCCACCCAAGGGTGACCAAGGTTAGGCTGCCATCATGAATCTAGGGTCTGCCCTTCTTGTCACATGTATATACCCCTAACCCTCCCCTTCCTATCATGTGTACAGCCCTAGCTCATCCCCTTCCTGTCATTGTACATCCCCTTCCTATAATGTGTATGCCTATTGTACTGCCCCTTCCTATGATGTGCAATCACGCCCCCCCAAGTAGATATAACCCTTGGTTAGCAATAAACGGGGTCCTCCAGCTTCCTGCAGGGTCCTCGAGCCTCCTGCCGGGTCTACACCCCACCTTGCCTCGGCCCACACTGTGTGCGGACCTGGCTGGTAAGACCATGGCCATCCCAGAGGTGAGCATGCTACCACGAAATGTGTCTGACTCCAAAATTTGACTCTCCCATATCTCAAGCTCTCTATGGCTTTATAATAACTGTACAGTTGTGCCCATCGAACCCGTGATTAGTGGTGGGGGGCTGGCACCCCATTCCAACCACAATTGCTAGTAAGTCTACAGTGCCATGGAAAACAACAGTAACCACGGAAAACAGAACAGAGTTTACCAAATGACCTGTGGATGCTGAGACGCCATCCACACCTTGAAGAACAATTCAAGTACTCACTTACAGTGTAACTTCCGGTCGGACTCTCAGAATTGTTGTTTTCAAAGTGACTGCACACATTGTTGTTATTGGTAGTTTCCAACTCCTAGTGCCTCTATGTCCAACAGAGTGACATGCTCCCTCCCCCACCCCCCCAGCCTCACCACTGTGATGCTTGAGCGACAGTGTCCAACTGGCCGAGTCTGATGTCCTTTTCTAGGGACTGGCCTATAATCAAGGAGGCCTGGTAACATCATGGGCTATGGCCTGGGCTGACTGCAAAGTCAGCAGGCTGAGCCACCGTGGGGACAAGGTTATGGCCTTTTGCTCCCATAAAGATTTACAACCTCAGAAGCCCAACAGGGCAGCTCTAATCTTTCCTAGAGGGTTAGTGGGTGTAGGAATTGACTCAGTGGCAGGGAGGTTGGTTTTGGTTAAAGTTTGGTTGATCGGATTGATTAACATTTCCAAAGTATGTGAGATGAGATCCCACCAGCTGCACTTCCAAGGACTTCTTCCCAGACAGATGCATTTCTTCTTCTGGAGTCTGTGGTACTTTCCACATTTTTGTCAAGCCCATCATTCAAATGTATCCCTTCTTCTGCAGTCTTTCTGATTCATTCATTATCCAACTTCCACACACGCACGAGGCCATTGGAAGTACCACGCCGTGGGTCAGTTGCAATTTGGTCCTCACATAGTGACATCCTTACTCTTCAACACGCTAAAGGGGCCTGATGCAGAAGTTTCACCCAGTGCAACCTCTCATTTGGTTTCTTGACTGCGGCTTCCACGAACATCGAGTGCGGCTCCAAGGAAAATGAATTCCTTGACAATTTCAGCTTTTTCTCCATCTATCATGATGCTGTCCGTCGGTCCAGGGGTGAGGATTTTGGCTTTCTCTGTCTTGCGTTGCAAGCCATACTGAAGGCTGCAGCCTTTGACCATCACAGCAAGTGTTTCAAGCCCTCCCCACTTTCAGCAGACAAGGTCGTCTCATCTGCATATTGCAGTTGTTAATCAGCCTTTCTCCCATCCTGA